GATACGTTATGGAGCTATCAAAAATTCGTGCTTGAGTCTCAGTACAAAGTACATGCGCAGGTGCAGAAAGTACAGCATGTATATCGTTAAAGTTGCATCTTTTCTCCCCTTTTCTCCCACACCCGTGCGACGAAGCTTTGATACTAAAATTCTGTATTTGCGTTCGAAATTTAAATTACCTTCCATCGTAAGCACGTTCCTTCGTCAGCAAACAAATTTATCGTCTCCTACAACCACAATAATCCGGTCAAAATAGACAGAAAAATAAGAGTGAAGGAACATAAATTTACATCAAGCTGGCGGGGAGGAAAATTGTTAAAAACATAATATAAAAATTACTTATCAAAATTCCCCATTGTGCACTTACTTGGAAAAAAAATGACTTGAGGTCAATGGTAAAAAAGTGGGGTTTTCGCGAATTTCAACAAAACAGTTTTATCGTAAAATTACATTGTAGATTAAAGGTTATCTATAAAAAAGCTACCCATCAATATATTTTTCCTAAGAGATAATGATTTGAAAGGTTGTAAGCGTTATAATATACATAAGTGCATCACGTATATACATGGATGTTATTTTAAAACACTCGAAATAAAAAAAAGTGTGTGCTATGACCACACGACTGAAGTGAAACTTCTTTAGCTCCATCTGTATGTACCTAGTCAGGTCATAAATTCTGTCACATGTTTAATATAAAATAATTGAAACAAGTTTATTCATTATGTAACCATTTATATACCAAAATGAACTTAACAAAACATAGATTCTTATGACAATAAAGTTTATTCAAAATGACCTCCGTGATTTTGAATACAGGCCTTCAATCTGCGCGGCCAGTCGTCTATCGCAGCACGAACGAGGTCCATGTCAATATCGGCGGCTGCCTTAGTCAAGGATGTCTTGAGTGACTCCAAATTGGGATGAGGCTTTGAGCACGCCTTTTCCTCCAAGTGTTGCCATATCTTGTAATCTAACGGACTCAAATCTGGACTGGAGGAGGGCCAGTCTTCGTACCGGATGAAGTCGATTTCACGCGCCGCCAGCCAGTCTTGTGTGCTCTTCGCTCTATGAGCTGGCGCCCAATCTTGTTGGAATACCCAGTGCCTGTTATTGAACATGGTATGAGAATCAAGTTCCACAAGGTTCGTCAGAAATGTATTTTGATACACAACTACATTCGTTTTTACACCTTTCTCACAAAAATGTACCTCTGTTAAGCCCCAATAAGAAACTCCCAACCATACCATGAGCGAGGATGGAAAATGACCTCGTTGGACACGCGGAATACGGTTGCTCGCTTCTTCACTACTGTGGGCGTACACCTTATCATTTTGTTTGTTGTAGCTCTCTTCTACGGTAAAAATTTTTTCATCCGAAAAAAGAATTTCCCGATATTTTTTTTCCCGCGTACCGCTTCAACAAGGCGCGGCATCTCTTCAGTCTCAGGTCCATTAGACGAGCATTCAAACGATGTCTTGTTTTTCTTCGATATGCCCGAAGCCCTAAGTCTTCATTTAACACCCTTTTCACCGTGATTCTGCTTAACCCCATCTGAAGGGTCAACAGTTTCTGATTACGTTTGGGATTTCTTTGAATTCGCGCCTTCACAGCTTTTATCACTGCTGGAGTCCTAACAGACCGAGGGCGACCACTTCTTGACCTGTCATCTACACTAGTCTTTATTGTATCGTTTGATGGTACGATAAACGAATCTTTATTTATTTATTCAGAAAACCAACAGCGTAACAAAAAAACATTTTTTTTTACATACTTTCTAATACTAAGGCTAATAATAGGTTTTCTATGAAATTTACAATTGTACTAAGACGTGGGAAGACATGATCTATTGCTTATTAGCTAATACTAGTTTTATTGTGTATGATGGAGAACCAAGTACATAGTCCCTCATCAGCAACTGCTCCCGGCGACCCGAGTCTTTGTTAATAGAATGAATGTAGTATAATTTTTGCCGTAATAGCATACCGAACGTATTAACTGAAATACTGCAAAACTCGCTGTTTAAATGTGTGTTTCGATATCCCGAAAAGTTCAAGTTCGTTAAATTTAGTATTATATGTACGTGCTATACGAATGAGGACATTGTTACTAGCATATCTAGTGGAGTATTTAGGTGTACACAGCAAGGGAGTATGGCGTGTGCGTCGCTTAGGAGTACAAAATCCGATACCCGCTACTAAATCCGCGCAGTCCAATTGCCCATTTAAGATGTCGAACAGTAGGCACATGTCAAGCAATACCCGCCTCTCCTCTAAGCTCAAGAGGCCATGATGTTGACATCCACTATGATATGAATCAGGAGAAATACGTTGTCGATAGTTAAGATGTTTAATATTTTTTTTTTTGGATTCTCTCTAGACGATCTTTGTGTATACTATATTGGGGTGACCAAATTTGACTAGCGTATTCTAATGTACTGCGAACATATGCACTGTAAATTGATTTAATGGCGGCCATGTCACTAAAGTGTTTGCACGAACGCAGGACGAAGCCCAAGCTTTTGTAGGCCTTGTTAACAACGTGGTCTATATGAGGTGTTAAAGTCATCCTACTATCAAAAATAACTCCCAAATCTCTAATCTCCGTCACTCTTGCAATTGGGTTTTTATTGAGTGTATATTTGTAATGAATAGGCTTGCTTTTTCGTGTATATGAGATACACTGACACTTGCCTATATTAACAGTGATTTTGTTTTCCATGTAATACTTGCTAAGATTATCTAGATCGGATTGTAGGGATTCGCAATCGCGAATATTTTTGATGCGAAGAAAAATTTTTTTGTCGTCTGCATATAACAAGTGTTCGGCATATTTTAAATGAACCCCAATGTCGTACAAGTAAGCGCTATAAAATAAAGGTCCTAGATGCGACCCCTGAGGCACGCCTGTTGGTATATCAATGAAGTTTGATCTATATCCGCCCAAAACAACTGCCTGAGAGCGGTTTTCTAAATATGACTGTATCCAACGTAACAAGTCCCCGTGGATCCCCAGACTATAAAGCTTGTGAAGCAAGATGACGTGATCGACGCGATCGAAAGCCTTTTCGAAGTCCGTGTAGATCACATCTACCTGTCCACCGCTGTCCATATTCATCAAAGTGTAATTCACAAAGGTAGATAAATTAGTAATAGTGGAGCGACGACGAAGAAAACCATGCTGACGGTCTGATAATCCTTTGTAGATAACAGGGTAAATCGCTGCATACACAATTTTCTCAAAGACTTTACTTATTGTATTAAGTATGGAAATTCCTCTGTAGTTTTCCACCTTTTGGATATATTCAAAATTTTCAGTATGTCAAAAATTTAAATTGGCGCGTAACCGCAACGATGCAACGCAATATTCTTTAAGCGTCCATTCCATGTTAAAAAGTATACATTTTTATTTACATGAACAATTCGAAATTCAAATTCAATAAACTTTGTTGTGGCCAGCATTCTAAAAGAAAAGTTTTTACTGTGTCACAATACTTATGACCTGACTGTGTATATATAAAAGTTTTGCCATTTGACGAGTATCAAGATTGAATTCCAAATTGGTTCATGCTATGGGTAGGTACAGCTATTGGAGTACTCACTCGATAAGGGGAAGGCAAGTGATAGAGTATGTTACTATATAATTACTCTTCTCTCTCTCCAAAATGTTGTGCTCTAATACTGTTTAAATTTGTAGTGAGTTTTAATGGTAGGCATTCTGATATAAATAAAACTAGAAAGGTATATTAAAATAGGTTTATTGGCAGTTGTGCCTACGCGTCAGCGATGGTGACTTCCACCTCTACACCAGGCTCGATGTTGATGGAGGTGATCTGCTTCACTATCTCCGAGAGAGAGTGCAGGTCAATCACTTTCTCTATCTTTATCTACCACTTTTGTTTTAATCTAAGGGTATTATTAGATTTCTTTCTGACAACTAAATCGGGTGTGGCAAAGAAGAATGCGACCAGTGGCATTCTAAGCAAGTGAAAATAAAAACTACAAAGCTATTTGCTAGCTTCAAAAATGCCTCCTGGGAGCTTTCTGCTAACGCAAATTTGACAACAGTCTCTCCTTTTCATCCTATATAGTATGATGAGGATATACTCCAGTCATAGTTAGTTTTAGGTTTATGGCAGTTTCTATATCTACGTAAAAAGTACTTGCTTTAGGCATTTTATACCGTTCGGCTCCTCTCCTCCATGGATAAAGCGAAAACAATTATGAAGTTCACGTCACGTCGCGGTAGGGTAAAGAATACTATATCTGTACAGCTTAATGTTAATATTTTTTGTTGTTTGAAGCGAAATCTTATTAACATGGTATATCGCAATCTTATATTTTTTTCATTGAAGTGTATGTTATTTATTTAAAGAAATGAAAGAGACATAAACAACTATAATTAAAGTAAAAAAATACTGACGTCTCTGAGTTCAGCCGTTAGCGTAATATTATTTTGTAATTCTTTTTTCTATATTAATCTATTAATTTATAAAATCTGCGTTAATTCATTAGGATCAAGTTGACATTAAAAACGGATTGGCTTGTTTATTAAACTCGTTCTAATTCCAACGATATTTATTGTTTTTTATTTTACAGGAATGGTCATCTGTAAAACAAACAACCTGTAATTCAATACTTTAACAGTACACTTTTATTGAAAACTAGCAAACCCGGCGAACTCCGTTTCGCCACCAGATGGCTTCGTTTTATGTAACATTTCCTTTGGTGATTAAAAGAAGATTTTTTTTTAATTTTTCCTGAATTTTCATTGCTATAAACCTCACGGAGCCCGAGACCTTTCCAACGAATGTAAAACCGTGGAAATCGGTTCGTGCGTTCTGGAGTTATAGCGTCAGGAAGGAAAACCCGACTTATTTTTATATAGTAGATATACAATGTTTTGTTAGAGATAAGACGGTTATAACTAAAATTAAATAAGTTAATTATAATGTGAAATAATGTTGTCTATATTTATAAATATGTAGTTAAAGGTTCCATTCTTTAAACATTGTTCAGCATTAAGTTCTTCACTTGTTTATCGAATTTCCTGGAATAAATACAATAAAAATTAGAAAATAAAAAGCCCTGTTTACTTTTTCAATAAACAAAGTACAGTACAGCAGCTTTACAGGCTATACAAAACTGTTAAAATTATTTGATCGATTGCAGAATAACATTTTGTGGTAACCTAACGGTTGATAGGCTTGCATTAACTTACAACGAGGTTATTTGATCGCCAGGTAAATGGAATGGGTTGCAGATTGCGTCAGCATACAGCGCGTGCAAGCGACGCAACGCAGTCCTGACTTCAGCATCGCGTATGTTGCTGCCGCTAGGTGAGGTAGAACTCGTCACCAACACAAGCTTGATGCGGGTGTTTGTCACATAGCCGTAGCTGAAAACAGTATAAGTATAATTAGAAATCACGATATTCGCGTTAAATCTAGAATCAGACACTCAGTAACACTGTTTTAGCTGGTACCTTAGTATTTGTCATTGCGCGCGTCGCCACTAAAAATGATATGCTAAACTACTGCAGAAATAAATCTTTCACATCAGAAATTTTATAAAAGAGAGTGTATGCCAATAATGCTTACTAACATTTTATGTGTATCAGTTGAATAAAGCAGCCCCAAGTACAAGTCACGCAAGTCTGTGCGAGTATTATTCGTATTAGCTCCTGTGGTATTAGAGTTATTCGATGCCAGTCGCTCCTCCAGTGCATCTAAGGCAGTGTGGACGAGCCATTGACGCGACAGTTCGTTGTCTGTATTGGTATCATTGCCTATACCACCGATGTACAATGGAGAATTCTGTAAAGAACGATTATAAGTTGTGGTTTAACAAACAAAGCTAAACGAAATATTGTTACAAGGCCTAGTAAATATCACTCGTGCTAAAAGAACTATGTCGTCTTCTTAGTGATGCAAGATATTTTATGTTGTCAGTTTTGCACGTTTGTTATATATATGATCAGCAGTGCAATGCGACTCTGCGCGAAAACTCTAACCCCTTCATTACAAAGTTAAATAAAGATTTATCTGGTCTTAAATTATACTGTCACCTTTGTCCTCAGCCTTGACATACGGTAACTCTCACCATGCCTCCACCAAGACCTCGTGGTCATGGTGTCTGATGGGTGAGGGTAGATCGGGGAGACGGCTTATCCCCTCAATAACAGTTGCGGCTTAGAATAATAGCGCCTAAAAGACGTGTATAGATTACTTGCTCAGTGAGTCGCGTCTTAACCAAAACAAACGCGGTTATGCGTGCCGAATTCATTTTCTCTTGTGCGTAGGTTGACAGTGGTGTCGATTCTGGCATGATTCTCTAAACTTAAAACTAAAGTTATCATCAGTCTCTCTCTTTTAATTTTGTATAGAAAATGACAAGAATACACTGTTGTCAAATTTAATTTTAGTTTTAGAGAATCATGTAATTTGTGTGTACACCTGTACCTATATCTAGATGCACATGATTTTAGTGTTACTGTGGCGGCGACATATACATGCCCCACATATTATCAACATGGACGAAATAGTCACTTGCCTCCGCAAGAGATGGCAGTACCGGCGCTGCGTTCACAACGTATGGAAGCCTACATCACGCAAAAGATACGCGATCTTGCATGTTGCATTCGACCACGTGGTTTAGAATTAGCATTGAAAAATAAATTTACGACAAGGCGGAATTTACTTCATACTCTTTGCCTTCCCAGAATGGGAGAATATTACAAAAAAAAACAAAAATATTGAATTGTCTATGTCAAAACAGTGGCAGCAAACAATTTATTTCGATCGTCAATTTTGTAAATAAACGAAAAATGGTAGCAAGATTTAAGTCATCGTAATTGTTTAATAATAGTAAATAAGGTTATACTCCAAATGGTGTAAAAATAGTGCAAGAATAACTCACGTCTTTCCCAATAACAGCGACACAAACAGCCATTGTCACCTAAAAAAGCTGAGGATATTAATCAAGGCTGCCAATCTACTAACAGAAATTACACTAAAGCGGGAAAATTCAAGTCAAGTGTTGTGCGTGTTGTTTGTGTTCCCATTTCCCAATAATGTTCTCGTCTCTTTGTTCGTCAGTAAAAGTAGCTGAGTGATACTGTTAAGGCTAAAGGCTATCTTACATAGAATAAATGAACAATAAATAGCTTCATTGGCTAATAACGATGGCTGTGAACGACGAAAATAGTGAGGTCCTATACGAAGTGGACGAAAAAGGGAACAGAGTTATTGTTAGATCAATAAACTCGGATCATTGCGTTTATATTCGTTTTATCAACGGCCTAATATCACGTCCTGTAGACGTTTGGTGGCGGGATTTTCAAGGAAAGAAACGCTTTTACGTGCGTATGCAACCCCGCACATATTTCGATGTGGACACCTTTGTCACACATCCCTGGGAATTTACAGACGCAGCTACTAAAGAAAACTATGTGATTCACAACAAGAAAATATTCCGTGCTCCTCCCAGTTTGGCAAATATGAAGCATAGAACTAAATGGATCATCACAGTGGGTATGAGGACTCTTCGTAACACTGCTCTGTTGGTGCTTGCTGAGCGCCTAGATGTTACTAAGGTGCCAGAATTGGGACTGCCACTGGAGTTAAGTAATGATTTGACTAGTCTAATTGATTCTATTGAGAATATGCAGGACCCTCCTTCGCGCACCTGACTAATGCTTGCTTGCCCTTATAATAAGAATTTTGTTTTTGTTGTTTTTATATTTCTGTTGTGGTTCTTCTTCTTATGTGTTCTCGCTAAGCTCTTCTTGGATATAAATCATAGGTCTCCAATCAATCCTTATTTAGATTGGATTTGTAACCTGATGTTGTGGTATGGGTAAGCATTCCTTTGTTCCACTAACAAGTCTAATTCAGATAGATTATATTTGTATAATGAGCCATATTAATCTCATTTATGAATGGTTGTTTCTTTAATCAAATTAAAAATGATTATGTGTCCATAGTGCAATAGCTTTGTTTATTTGATACCAAATTTTGATTTTATTATCTACATTTTTTTCAAAATAAATAGACTTTCTACATAAAATATGTAGCTTTATCTGTACATATAAATGAAATATGTTTATTGATGTTGTATCTAATAAAATAAGTGTTATGGAATGTAATTTATAATATGTATTTCTATGTACATATACTTATATATGTACTGTATATGTATTCTATCGGTTATCCTAGCATCCCATAACACAAGCCTTACAGTGAGCGTTTTCCATTTACAATAAAAAGTCAACACTGTGTTGCACTGTGTCGACGATACTATAGCAAAAACCTAATGCCAACTAAAGCTTGGTAACTTCAATACTTTTCATTGGTGTAGTGCAACACAGTGTCGACTTTTTTTTCTAAATGGAAAACGCTCAGTGCTTACTTTGGGGCTAGGCTAATTGGTGTGAGTGTTGGCAATATTTATTATTATTATTATTAATTAAGTATTAAGCTATTTCAATGAATCTTTACCATTAATTGTTTCTTTTGTTAATTGTGTAAGCATTTAAAATATTTGTGAATATTCATTATAAATGTCTGTCATTGCAATAGCTGTTTATAATACAAGAGTTGTATTGTTAGTCTATTAAAATTTATACTTAAGCAAAATTTAGCCGTTAAAAAATATATATTTGTGAATGAAAAATGGAAGGCTGATATTAATGCAGGAGGATAGAAAAATAAATTTCATATACAAGTTTCACTTGAAACTTAAAATTTTGAGACTGAGCTTCTTAGAATTGAAGGATTGTTATTGGTAGGATTTGAAAAGAAATATTAATGATCTTTGGTGCATAAACCAGAGCAAGGTATATGAGTATCCAAAATCCTTTTGAAAATTTCATTTGGATGTAAACATAATGATTAAAAATGATGAGTTTGTAATGTTTAAGTAATATTATTATTTCAATAATGTTATCCCCTGTTTTGGCTGATAACATGAAATTTAATAGCGGGAATCATATTTCCTGTGCAGATAACTAATAACATTAACAGGATTGCTGGCTATTAGCTCACAGCCATTTATGAAGTCTTTAATGACTAATCATTTAGGTCAGGTCTGTATTTCTATTACATGACATCACAAGTTTAATGTTCCGCCATTCTGTATGAAGTGATGTCACTGTAGAACAATCTCTTATGATGCTTCTTCTAGATTAAGTATTGTGAAATTATTTAATATCAACTAGACTAGAGGCCTATTCTAGTAAGTAAAGTGAAAATGCCATCTGATGTCATAAGGTTGTTTCTAATTTTATTATTGCAATTAATTTTTTTGACATTTTGATATAAGTAAGTGTTAGCAACTACTTGATTATATAATGGTCCAGTCCCGCACTGTCCACAGAGTGACAGTGTTGCAAGTAGCATTTCCTGAATGTTATTATAATATAAAAAAAAGTAGTTTCTTTAGAAAAGGGATTCTCAATGATGTCATATTTATGCTATTCTGAGCATATTTTAATCCATCTAGATCTACATTAACTTGTGTTGTCTAACTAACAACAATAATGTTTGTGGTCAATGTATACTAGCATTAAAACGCACCGAAGCGAATTTCAGAAACAATAAAATAGCTAGTTCACCCTTAACACCACAACATAATGTATATATTTCTTCTGAGATATGATGAAGTCGCACGATTTGCAATATTATGAGTTATCGGTTCAGAAGGAATATGTGCATTACCTTACGGAGATAAGGGTGCATTTGTTATGTTACTGATTCTGAAATTCGCTTCGATGCGCGTCGACTCTGCACTCATAGTTTGAATTGATCATAAACATATTTTTGTAATGCATTAATATGTTATGATTTTATTTATTTTCTAAGCATGTAACTGCTAGATGTTTAAATCTAAAGAAAAGTTTACTAGAAAAAAATCCATGCGGACCAGGCAGCGGACAGCGGTCCCGTCCGCGTGGATTTTTTTCTAGTAAACTTTTCTTTAGATTTAAACATTAATATGTTTCTTCTGTTTGTTAAAATATTTTCTATTAAAAAATATATCTAGTAATTAAGCTACTATAAAAGATATTTTATATTTATAATTATTTTATAAACTATTCAATATATGTATCTTTTTATTGTGATAATATCACTATTTTTTACTTTGTATTACATATTTTAATCAAGGAATAAACAATACTGACATAAATAGTAATAAAATATACATTGACGTGGAAACTGAACGGTTTTATTTATTGTCTTTTAAAGTGCAGTTCAGAAGCAATTACCAAGTTCATATCTAACATAAATGTGTCGAAGCAAAACAAAGGACAGGGGGGTACAAAAATAATTTATTGTAAATAAAAAACAATAGTTAAGTATACAGAAATCACAATTAATACGTTGGGGCAAGAATGGCGAGTCAATCCGTTGACATCTTCCTTTTTCTATGGATGTGGGATGCGATTGCCAGAGCTCCACCAGGGATGAATCTGACAAAGTTATCTCCCGTCAGAGGTCCTAAGGCGTAGATTCCTTTGGGAGAGTTCAACAGTTCGTGCGTGCTTTTGTCTACGGCTATGGGATTAGATCTACCGTCCACTGGTTTGTTGGGGTCCATTCCAAACCCTATGCCGTTGGAATAAGGGTTAGTCAGTTGGCACTGGCATTTGTTTTCGCTGGGAATGATTTCGTATTTACAATCGTCAGTCTTTATCTCGTCGCATGTGCATTTCGTCTTCTCCGGCCTTTTGTTGCAATCAGGAACTATGCATTTGGTGTCAGTGTTGCCATTGATTTCCGTGTAGTTGAGATACCTCGATTTGCAACTCTGTATGCTTTGGCCTAAGACAGATTTTATGTAGTGCCAATGGTTTCTAAGGAAACATTGGCGGCGTTCGTCTTCAATTTTCTTCTTGGCGTTTCTCTCGTCTGTGCATTTGATGCAGTCTTGTTCTAATTCGATGGAGTTAAGGTTGAAATTCGTTTGTAGGAAAAAGAGATCTGGTTTGGAGCCTATGAAGACGGCTATTATGGACACCGTGACCTCTGTGGTGTCGTTTGTGACCAAGTTCAGTAGTTTGACCCTCTTAGGGCGGATGGTTTCGTAGTCCACTTCTGGGTCATGGGGTGTAGGTTTTGTTGTGATATCTTCTAAGGGGGTGATGTCTACGATCATGTGTTCTGGGTAAGATTTGTAGTCTGGATAATCTTCCGATGACCCGTCGCGCATCATTTTGTATACCTGTGGACAAGATTTTAGTTAAGATTAGAAAACAAATTATTACTTGCGTCATCAACAATAAATTAATTAATGTCCCCACTGCTGGGGCCTAGGCCTTCTTTATGGATGGAATAGAAAGATTGGGCCATGACCCACCACGCGGCCCAGTGCAGATTGGCGGGTGCTAATGACTGCAGATACAGCCGGGACCAACGGCTTAACGTGCCTTCCGAAGAACGGAGGAGCTCGAGATAGTAAATTTTTAGTCACCCATCCAATGGCCGACCACTGCGAAAGTTGCTTAACTTTAACGATTGTAGCCGAACGCGCTAACCACTTGCGCCATCGAACTCCTCCTCCTCGAGATAAATTTATAATAGGCTATTGGGAACGATATTAAATACCCGATACAACAACACAAACAAAATCGTGGTCGAAATGTGTCCAAAAGGTACATTGAGCGATCCACGGAGCTCCGTAAGATGAACGCGTGAACAAAAACCATTTAAGCCATTATTTTAACATTGAAAGTCACCTTTAATTCATATTGTATAAGGTTTAATTAAAACGCATGCGTCATTCGAAATGCAAGCTCGTAAAATTTTACGATTTATTGCTATATGCGGAAAATTAAAGACCTTATGCGATCGTTGAAGTTAAGCAACTTTCGCAGTGGTCGGTCGGTCATTGGATGGGTGACCAAAAATCTTCCATCTCGAGTTCCTCCGTGCTTCGGAAAGCACGTTAAGCCGTTGATCCCGGCTTCATCTGCAGTCGTTAGCACCCGCCAATCCGCACTGGGCCCGCGTGGTGGGTCATGGTCCAATCTCCCTATTCCATCCCTAGGGAAGGCCTGTGCCCCAGCAGTGGGGACATTAATAAGCTGATGATGATGATGAACCTCCACTCGAGCCCTGGTTGTACGCTGGCTGACCCCGAAACGCGCGAGAAGCACTTCCCGGGGTTTTTCACCATTCGCACGGTGGTAACAAACCAGGCGTGTGTTAGGCACCTGTGGCGGCGACATCTATATGCCCCACAGATATACAACGGATATAACATATCATTACTCGCCATCCTCAAGAGATGGCGTTACCTGCACTGCGATCAATAATAGTATGGAAGCCTACATCGCGCAAATGAAATTCGGAGGCTAACTCTTCCTATATACGATGCCCGACCAACATCAGTCGGGCCGCGGCCCCCGAGCTAACATCACCCAGCTCGGAGGAAGATCTTCCGCTTTGGCTTTCCTACACACCCTACCACCAGAAGAGCGGATGAAAGCTCCGATACCCCTTAGTCGCCTCTTACGACAGCCACGGGAAGAGAAGGGGAAAGATGAAGGGGTTGATGATAGACTTGCAACGAATAGTATTCGGCAGTATACCGAATATTCGGCGGGGCCCCTGACCGAATAGCCGAATATTAGGCAAAAGTATTCGGCTGCACACGCGACGGAAGCTGAAAAAATGGAGTAACTTCTCCCGTTTTCCCAACATTTCCCTTCACTACTCTGCTCCTATTGATTGTAGCGTGATGAAAAGTATACTATAACCTGCCCAGGAGTATGAAGAATAATTGTACCAAGTTTCGTTAAAATCCGTCGAGTAGTTTTTGTTTCTATAAGGAACATACACACAGACAGACAAAATTTTTACTGATTGCATTTTTGGCATCAGTATCGATCACTAATCACCCCCTGATAGTTATTTTGAAAATATATTTCATGTACAGAATTGACCTCTCTACAGATTAATTATAAGTATAGATGACAAAATATATTATTTAAGTAGGTATTCGGTATTCGGCCGAATAATATGAAGATATTCGGTATTCGGCCGAATATAATAAAAGCAGCCGAATAGGCCGAATACCGAATAGTAACCGAATATTCGTTGCAAGTCTAATAATTGGTTACCCTGAAAATGACGTTACGCCTACTACCGTAAAGATTGCAAATGATCAAAAAACTCTATTCAAAATTTGTCTGACCTTGGAAGGTCCCGCTGTGACAAATGTTCGGCAGGCTGAATCTGCACTTGTCGCCTCTTACGACACCCACGGGAAGAGAAGGGGGAAGATGAAGAGGCTGATGATGATGTATAAACATACACACATAAAGACACAAACACACACGCACACATGGCACACAACATCTGCATTACCTTTCTTAATTGCAAATACTTTTGCTTAGCTTTAAGTCATTTTAATGAGTTTTAAAATTATTTTCAGCGTAGATCGTCTGTTTATTGTTTTGTTTTATTTTATTTTCGTTCATTCTTTCTTTTTGTTTTTTTCATGTTCATTTTTTCATTTACTGTAACCATACTGGAGTTTGTAAATCACATTATTAGTTAAGGAAGAGCGGAGCCTCCAAACACAGGCAATATTTGCTTAAATGGAGACTCCAATCGATATAATATTAAGAAGGCTATTGTAAAGGAAAATAAATTATTATTATTATATTGACCTGAGTGTAGTCCGGGTAGAGGTGCGGCGTGAGGGAGGCCAGCGAGGGCGGGGGGGAGCGGTGCAGATGTATCACTTGCCGTCTCGCTCGCACGCCCGCTACTACGGCGTCGGCCGCGCTCAAACCCGACCCGACTACCATTACTGCGCCGCTGCCATCTACCGGCAAACGAAACAAACGATTCATAAAACCCATCTAAAAGTATAAATAAGTTAATCACAATGGATTTATTTTTAATTTAAAATAAAACAGTTTAAGTATTACCTTCAAAAACTTTACAAATCACCATTCATTCTTTAATGTTGGACTGGGATTAAAAGAAAAACTTTTAAAACACCAGTTGCTGTTTCGATGACCTACCAACCTAAAATGGAATGGCCTTGAAAGTATGTGTTTGACACAACACAATATTATTTCCTGTCTTAACTTACAATATACAATATTTATTAATAACTTTAAGCTACTCTTACATAAATGCATAGAAAAGGAATGTACATTCTTACGATAATAAGGAACTAGCAAACCAGTGAACCAAATGTTCACCAAAACCTGATTTAAAAAAAAAATGTATTTAATTAATTGAGAACTTCGGAGATTTTGTGTGGTTTCGTTTGAAATTCGTGATTTCTCGAAAACCGGAAGTGCTACGTTACTCAAATCCAGTTTGTAGTCTTATCAGACTATTCTTAACTTATAACTTAAACATTCTCTTTATCTATCTCTTACGGTTTGGCCGCTGAAACAGCACCACAGACAGACGGACGGACGGACCGACGGACTTGTCTAACAGATAAGAGATCCTTTGATGTTTGGATTAGTGCAAAAAAAATAACTAAATATTTAAACTATTAAAATAAGCTACTTGTTTGAACTTTTTGGCGGGATCGGGAAGCGTCACTTTAGCAGTTTTGTTTTTCTTGTTAAAAATTGTGTTGTGGCGGATGTTAGTGTCTAATAATGGTGGATTATTAACCACTAAGTGTTCGGGAACATTACAAGTGTTGGCAAGTGAAACAAAATAGCGGAAAGTGTCTTTCGACGTTCCCTTAAGAAGTCCACGGGGAGGTTCCTGTAAATCCCCACACTTTTACTGAAACATAGGGAAAGGGGGATTGACTTGACTGCCACTCACTTTGACTTGATTTATTACTTTGACCACGAGTGCTATAAGTATTTGTAAACATTTTAACACTTGACATTGGCTAAATGCACAAACCGTGCGAAGCCATAAATATGAAAAAAAATGGGTGCGTGTACTTATGTAGGCGCGTGAGAAGTTATCCTTCTTTGGCATCGTTTAAAATTAGTTTTTAATTGCATGCAAATAATTAATTACAATAAATTAATAAAAAGTCTGGAAAGGACACAGTCAATAAAGTTCAGTTTTAATTTGAAAAAATAAATAAATAATCAAAATATTCAATTAAAATCGCTACTGAATATAATTTATTAGAACATATGTGATTTGCACTTGTATGAAACTCAAACACGTATTCCGAATATACAAACTAGAAACATGTGGATAAATATTATAAATATGAATACCTATAACTGTTACTTTATTACAAAAAATAAAGATGTGGTTTTTGGTTCTACTACACCAATGGTCAAGAGATGGCGCTGTAGTCTCCTGAATCGCGCTTTGGTTCCGTTGTTCCAGATTAATAAATACTTTTGATAGGCCTTCACAATGCAGTCGTTAGCACCCACTAAATAGAGATTCTATTTCTATTTTGTTGGTAGATTTTCTTAATGTGCGGTAACCAACTTCATGCTGTTAATTTTTTGTGTTACAGTGATGCGCGCGCATCTTAAAATTTCACTCTCATAACTTTTTTCATAACGCGCCTAAAGAAGTATAACTTCAAAAAAAAAGTTCATCACAATGGGGATGATGACTAATTTACTTCAAATGCGTCGAAAAAACGACACATTTCGCACTCGAAGTATTATTTTCGCATTTTTGTGGTTCGCTCTGTGGCATTTTGACTTTGTAACGGTCCGCGCGTGACTGTGAACTAAGAAGTGCTTGAGTGGAGTTCAAGCACATCTTGATTGGGACACATTTTGAGCGCTCGTGGTGTATCTAAGGCCTGGGTTCCGAACCTAGGGGTAATTACCCCTCAGGGGGTAAATCAGCCATACTTCAGGGGTAACAAAGAACCTAATTATTTGATCAAATCTAAATAATAAGCAAATGCTATATAATCTAATATATAAAATTCTCGCATCGCGGTGTTTGTGGTTAAACTCCTTCGAAACCGACCCATTTTCGTGAAATTTTATATGCATACTAGATGACCCAGCGAACTTCGTACCGCCCTAAAAAAATAGGGGTTGTCCAGCGGACAAAATTGTGAATCTAAACCATTCTCAGATCCCCTTGAACACACACAAAAAATTTCATCAAAATCGGTCCAGTCGTTTAAGAGAAGTTCAGTGACATATACACTCACAGAAGAATTATATATATAAAGATTCAGTAGGTCTGAGAATCGGATGTAATCTTATTTTCATCCCCCTAAATGTTAAGGGTAATCCACCCCTAATTTTTTTTTTTAATTTTTTTATGATACAGCATTAGTAAATACCTACATATAACCCTGAATTTTCAACCCTTTAAAATCAACCCCTATTTTTTTATGGCGGTACGAAGTTCGCTGGGTCAGCTAGTAATACTATAAAAAGAGCATGCGCTCCTTCTTGCTAGCGAGCCCGCGGGGTGCTGAGTGTGGGAAGCGGGGCGAGATTGTCTCCTGATGATGACATTATTAGAGACGAAGATGTAGCGGCCAAATTGGAATTTCTTGGACTGATGATAACATTTTAAAGTGGGGGTAAAATCTGTTTTCCTAATGGGTTACAGGGGTAGCAGTATTGGAAACGTTAGGAAACACTGATCTAGGGTGTTGCCGACCTCTTTTATAGATTTAGTTTTTATGGTTTTTCAAAGTGTTCTTTAAAGTATTGACATTTTTATGATTTTTGCTTTCAAAATTGTTATTGTGTGTCATAGTCTTTGCCTGTCATCAGATATAATATTCTTTTGTGTTTTACTATAAAATCGTGTTAATAAATCCATTGCGTCCCAAATCCTAGCCTACATTTTTCATTCCACTAGCTCTCCGCTTCATAGGGTATTTAATATGGTTGCTCCACATACCAGAATACCAGCGCTGTTACGGTGGGAATATTCCCGTCCCATTGTAACAGCATTAAGCTGAGGCAGGGTCCTAATTGGCCTTTCTTCTTTCTGCATATTGTTGTTCTCTGTTTGTTTTTATTTTTATCGGTGCTTATATAATGAGGGCTATCGTTTTTTGTCTCACCAGATGGCGCCACTGTTGAGTGAGGTCCTGAAGTGTAACTTTTAAAGTTAGTAAACACGCTCGTGATATCAAACTTTACATTTTAATACAAAAGAATCGTATCTTAAACATAATCGCCCATGCCACAGTGTTGCGCAGTCCCGTTTTGTTCGGAAAAAAGAAGGACAATATTTTTTCTTAGCTCCGCTTTTAAATAACTGACAATCATTGACACGTAACTCATATTTGCCATAATAAGTCTGATTTATTACCAAATATTCACAACTGTTATTTTAATTAGAAAAAAAACCGCAAGCTATAACATTTGACATTTCGGAGACCTCACGCAACACAAGCGCCTCTAGCGGCGGTTTCAGACGCGATAGCCCTCATTTCTTATTGTTACATACTTGTGTGTTAAGGCCAAGAAATAATTTTTCTTCTTTCTTTCTTTACATACCTGGTGTCAACGCTCGTTCGTAGGCAGCGAGTGAATGCACCGTAGTGGCATTATATTGTACGGGTAAGGTGTTGGGTCTGTCGCTGGCGCCGCTGGCCAGCACCACGCGCCGGCACCAGTAGCGGAACCCGCGACCCGACCAAGTGTCGTAACTACACAACAAAATAATAACAATAAAAACACATGCCCACAAAAAAACAGTGGAGCTCGATGGCGCAAGTATTTCCAGCACTCACAGCATTTCAAGGGCGGATCCAGGGGGGGGGTGTCATGGGGGTCATGACCCCCCCTGGGCTGGGTACAGATGGACCAAACCCAGGGGGATTTTATTTAAGTACTTTCAATATTTAATATACCACGACTATATGACCCCCCCCCCCCCCCCCTGGGCCAAAGCTGGCTATATGACCCCCCCTGGCGCTAAAGCTGGATCCGCCCTTGCAGCATTTAGCCCAGCCCCAAAGAAAGCACTGTAGGCTTGTGTTATGAGATGCTAGGGTAACGGATAGAATACATATACTGATACATATAAAAGTATATTTATAAAGAAATACATATTAAACATCTATGACTGGAGTACAAATGCTCGTGTTCATCACACAAATATCTGCCCCCACCGGGATTCGAACCCGGGACTTGTCGAGTCGGCGACACCTTGAAACCCGGCGTGCAAACCACTCGGCCGTGGAGGTCGTCATAAACCAAAGACAACACAGCTATAAAAAAGGTACTTAAAATTCCCAAGTGAATTTTTTCCTTCGTTACGCTTTCAACCACTAAAGCGATTATGGTGAATTTTTATGTACCGAGAGACCTAGGAGGAGCTCGATGGCGCAAGTGGTTAGCGCGTTCGGCTGCGATCGTCGAGGTTGAGCAACTTTCGCAGTGGTCGGTCATCGGATGGGTTAGTCAATTTACTATCTCGAGTTCCTCCGTGCTTCGGAAGGCACGGTAAGCCGTTGGTCCCGGCTGCATCTGCAGTCGTTAGCACCCGCCAACACGCACTGGGCTCGCGTGGTGGGTCATGGCCCAATCTCCCTATTCCATCCGTAGGGAAGGCCTGTGCCCCAGCAGTGGGGACATTAATAGACTAATGATGATGACAAAAAAAAAGTACCCTGCGCTAAAGACCAGACTACCTGAACTTTCGCTGAGTCCAAATATGGTGCTAGAATAGCGAAGGGTTCATCGATAACTTTTTGGTCAGTGTACCTTTATTTTTAGCTAGGGACAATAGCATCTTCTGTTAAATCAGTTTATAGTATTAGAACAAAACTAGCAAACCAGTGAACCAAATGTTCACCAAAACCTGATTTAAAAAATAAAAATGTATTTAATTAATTGAGAACTTCGGAGATTTTGTGTGGTTTCGTTTGAAATTCGTGATTTCTCGAAAACCGGAAGTGCTACGTTACTCAAATCCGGTTTGTAGTCTTATCAGACTATTCTTAACTTATAACTTAAATATTCACTTTATCTATCTCTTACGGTTTGGCCGCTGAAACAGCACCACAGACAGACAGACGGACTTGTCTAATAGATAAGAGATTAGCTTCAAATGCGTTAAATTAACGAACATTACTCTACTATTCCGTAGAGGGATGCGCGAGCACACCTCGATTGTCTTACTTCGGTTTTACTTCGACAACTATTAGATAATTACTAGCTGACCCAGCGAACTTCGTACTTCGTAAAAAAGGGACTGGTGGTAGGAAGGTGAAAATTTAGGATTGTATGAATTTTTTTCATGCCACATTATAAACAAATAAAAAAAGATGGAATTCGAATAAGAAGATTTTTGGTCACCCATCCAATGACCAACCACTGCGAGTTGCTTAACTTCAACGATCGCAGCCGAATAACGCTAACCACCCGCACCATCGAGCTCCTCAAACTCGTCATTAAATAAATAATAAATAAATAAATATTTCCAACACTCACACCAATTAGCCTAGCCCCAAAGTAAGCACTGTAAGTCTTGTGTTATGGGATACTAGGGTAACGGATAAAATACATATACTGTACATATATAAGTATATTTATATAGAAATACATATTAAACATCCATGACTGGAATACAAATGCACGTATTCATCACACAAACATCTGCCCCCACCGGGATTTGAACCCGGGACCTCTGGAGTCGGCGACACCATGAAACCCGGCGTACAAACCACTCGGCCAGTGGCAGTACAAACATTATCTAACAGAAAGGGTTGATGGATTTTGCTATCGATCTTGGTATCAGTACCGGTTCATGGCAATTTTTTAAAATTTATTATTCGACAGAGGGATGATAATTAAAGTTCTGCTTTCATCATTAATTTCTGGTCATTGGTGTGGGTTGTACACTTACCTAATTAATATTTACATGTAAAAAAAAAATTACTAGAGCAAATTTCACGCGAACCGGGACGCAGACAGGACTCGATTTTTTCTAGTAATATTTTCTTTAGATTTAAACATCGAGCATGACATGACATGCTTAAAATAAAATTGTGTGTGTCAGCTCCGACGCACGACTGGAGTTTACTCCTTAAGTTCGACAGTCTAACCAGACGCAAAAAGAGTTTATTTAACTTAAAAAAGATTGATACTGTATGAAAGGGTAAATTAACAAATTAATGAAAATAATATACACATATAAATATATATTTATTCATTTCATATACATTTATTATAACTAATTGACGGAATATTTTACATTAAACTTTTTACAATAGTCAATTTCAGATGTGCATAAATATAATATATATTTTAAGTTATTGTTTTTATTTGTTTTGTTACCTTAAGTCATGGTGGGCGATAACAGAGTCATGTTGTTAAGTTAAATATTTGTAAGGACAAAATCTCAGTTTGTCCTTGGTGGGCGATTATGTATACGCCATTTGTGCATTTAAAATTTTAGTTCATATGTATCAAAATAGATGGCGCTGTAGTTCGTTGCATCACGCTTGTAAATATGTTTGGAGCTACATATAGGCAAAACGTCACCAACTAATAAAGAAATCTATGGTCTAACAAAATACACTGTAGTTTCAATTTAATTCTTTTGCACCTAAGCTCTCGGATTTAAGAGTCATTTTGGCTCATGACATTCATCTATGAGCATTAGAGGTGGGTCGTCGACGAAACGAAACCGTCCACTACCGTCGATCAACTAGTTGAATTCTTCGACTAGTTGACGTGATAACGGCAGGCTTTAAAGGGTTCATATCAACTACGCGGTGAATGGTCTACGGGCGCGACTCAACGACGACGAGGTCTTTATTTAGTATTCACTTTACATTATAGTCATTCAAATGTTTACAAAATAAATTACAAATTAAACTCATAACATAAACATTCAACTCAAACGAACTTTGCATTAAATTCGCATTTCACGTGTCCCTTGACCTTGTCCTCGCGACACACTGATTTCAAATTTTAATAAACAAAACTGCAACTACTTGAGGAAAACCATTATTATAAACCCGTTCATCCTGCACTGCATCGTTTAGCCGGATCCATCGACGTACTCTTTCACGCAATATAAAAATACTCTTACCTTTTCACTCTAACAACTCTAGTTTAAAAAATGAACAAATATCAACTCCTACGCCATATACTTAAGTTTCAAATTGCTTTATTTCAACGAATGAACGAACGTATGGACTTGTAACGGGTAAACCGGATACGTTTATGCGTCGTCGACGCTTTGTCAGTAGATATGAACGCTGTGGACTCTCAGTTTAGCCGTCTATGAATTCAACTAGTTAACAAATTAACTGTAGACCGTTGAAACGTCGATTGAACGTAGACCGTCTATTTAAACCGTTCGTTAATTCAACGCCCATCGCTAATGAGCATTATTGTTGTATTCTACACTTCAGCTCTACACCGAAGCGAAGCGAGGGCGGACCGCAAGTATTATTATAATATTTACATTTTTAATTTTAGTAATATGTAGTGTACAACTTTTATATGTTCCCAATTGTTAAAAATTAAAAAAATATAGATGCTTACCCGCAGACCAAGTAGTTAGCTCTCTGTGGGCACCCTGGACCGCACGCTGTAGAAGTGATCCGTCGTGGGGCACGGCGAACGCTCGTCACCACTACGCCGGACCGGAAGTATGGCTGCGGGAATCAATCGAATGGTTTTCAATTAGTCAACTTGAAAGAAGTTTATTTTGTATTGTGGGTCTACCTATAATGCGAAGAGATGGCGCTGCCTTGCAGCTTAAGGGTGCGGCCAGAGTGCACTCAGATTCAGACTCAGATTCAGATTTCGAAAACAAGCGCGAGAAATAAACAGTGTAGTCTAAGCAGGTTGCCTGCTTTTTCTCGCGCTTTGTTTTCTGAGTCTGAATCTGAATCTGAATCAGGAGTGCAATCTGGCCGTACCCTTCGACTACACTGTTTATTTCTCGCGCTTGATTTCGAAATCTGAATCTGAATCTGAATCTGAGTGCACTCTGGCCGCACCCTAAGAATAGCTAGAAGAATTTCGACGCGGTCCGTGAGGGCCGCGGTAGCATAATTGGTCAGTGCATTCGCCCGGATTGCGAAGGGTGCGGGTTCGAGTCCCGTCTGCTGCCAGGTCCGCGTGGATTTTTTTCTAGTTATATTTCCTTTAGATTTAAACATCAAGCAGTTACATGCTTTAAAATTTAAAAAAAAAAAAAATAAGTTTATTTTGATTACATTTCATCTTAAATACATAAGTAAAGACTTTCACTCAATAGTAAATAAAGTACCTAAGTATAATTTACAAATACTTCAATCATTTTATGAAAACAGAATCAAAAGCGGTCACATTATGACAGTCAACAATCAAGCCAACAGCTGTTAGTATTTTTAATCCTAGCCTTCACGGTTTTATTTGTCTAGGTCTCTCATCATCGTCATCATCATCAGTCTATTAATGTCCCCACTGCTGGGGCACAAGCCCTCCCTATGGATGGAATAGGGAGATTGGGCCATGACCCACCACGCGGGCCCAGTGCGGATTGGTGGGTGTTAACAACTGCATATGCAGCCGGGACCAACGGGCTTAACGTGCCTTCCGAAGTACGGAGGTCACCCATCCAATGACCGACCACTGCGAAAGTTGCTTAAATTCAACGTTTACAACCGAACGCGCTAACCACTTGCGCCATCGAGCTCCTCCTAGGTCTCTCGGTACATAAAAATTCACCATAATCGCTTTAGTGGTTGAAAGCGTAATGAAGGAACAAATTCACTTGGGAATTTTAAATACCTTTTTTATAGCTGTGTTGTCTTTGGTTTATGACGACCTCCGTGGCCGAGTGGTTTGTACGCTGGGTTTTTAAGGTTTCGCCGACTCGACAGGTCCCGGGTTCGAATCCCGGTGGGGGCAGATATTTGTGTGATGAACACGAGCATTTGTACTCCAGTCATGGATGTTTAATATGTATTTCTTTATAAATATACTTATATATGTATCAGTATATGTATTCTATCCGTTACCCCAGCATCCCATAACACAAGCCTACGGTGCTTTCTTTGGGGCTAGGCTAACTGGTGTGAGTGTTGCAAATACTTATATACTTATACAGGATGTTACAAAAATACAAAGTAATCGTGAAGGGCGTTGAAGTACATCATATAAGGAGTCTTCTCTAATTTTCTTAAAATATATGCATGAAGTTTTAACTTTTTATAAAAACAGTTATTTATAATGATCCTCGAACTAGTGACGTGTCTTAAAACGATCGATATTTTTATTTATCATTAAAAATAACTGTTTTCAAAAAAAGTTAAAACTTGATGAAAATATTTTAAGAAAATTAGAGAAGACTCCCTATATGATGTACTTCAAAACCCTTCAAGCTTTATTTGTATTTTTGTAACACCCTGTATTCATCATTATCATCATCATCAACCCAAGCTCGTCCATTCTCCGTCCGTCCGTCGCTCCCGATTTTCTGCCACTCACATCCAGCCACTCCAGCCAGCCTACGAATGTCATCATCCCATCTTGTCTCAGGGCGTCCTACACTACGTTTACCGAGTCTAGTCTCCACTCAAGAACTTTCCGGCTCCAACGGCCATCAGTTCTGCGGCTAATGTGACCAGCCCACTGCCACTTCAGTTTGCTCATTCGGTGGGCTATGTCGGTGACTCTGGTTCTCTGTCGGATTACATCATTTCTGATGTGATACTTCAAGGATACTCCGAGCATAGCCCTTTCCATAGAATAGTTATATCTAATATATAAAATTCTCGTGTCGCGGTGTTTGTGGTTAAACTCCTCCGAAACGGCTTTCCCAATTCTCATAAAATTTTGTGTGCATATTGGGTAGGTCTGAGAATCGGACAACATCTATTTTTCATCCCCCTAAATGTTTAAGGGTAATCCACTCCTAATTTTTTTTTTCAATTTTAGATTTTTTTTTAATTTTTTTATGATACATCATACAAAAATACATACATCCCTAAATTTTCAACTTTCTACCACCAACCCCTATTTTTTTATGGCGGTACGAAGTTCGCTGGGACAGCTAGTCTAATATATAAAATTCTCGTGTCGCGGTGTTTGTGGTTAAACTCCTCCGAAACGGCTCGACCGATTTTCGTGAAATTTTATATGCATATTCAGTAGGTCTGAGAATCGGACAACATCTATTTTTCATCCCCCTAAATGTTAAGGGTTAACCACCTTTAATTCTTTTTTTTTTATAATATTTTTTGTTTTTATTTATTTAGATACAACCCTAAATTTTCTCCGTTCTACCACCAACCCCTATTTTTTTATGGCGGTACGAAGTTCCCTGGGACAGCTAGTTGGTGTATATAATTGGTAGTTCCACTCACCGTCAGTCCACAAGTGTGCACGTATCTCCTGCAATATCTTGCCACTGCTGCAGCAGACAGTCTTTTGGCCTCGTCGCCATAGTTCCCCCCAGTGTGTGGGGGCAGCCGCAGCCAGGCGGCAGGAGATAAGGTCCTGACGCTCCTAGGAAACGTATGCCAAGCTCCTCCTGCTGGACCCCGACCCAGGACCACGTGATCTATCTTTAATTCAATATTGAAAATAAATTAAAAGAATACTTTTTAAACAATTTATAAAATATATTTCCTAATTACTTATACAATGTACTTATCCAAGCCCAATATAGTATATTTCATTACTAGTACGGAATGGTTGTCATTGCAAAAGGCGAGGGTTGACAGTCGGAACGAGTTGCAATGACGGTTCCGTACGTGTACTGAAAGACTATTTTTAATACAGTTGCGAAAAAATGAAGCAATTTTATTTAATTAAATTATAAAAACACAATAAACTCAATTAACTAATCATTTATTTCTTATAAAAGTTATAATTCACATATACATTGAAATTGGTACAGTTTTTTATACTAACTGGGGAAGTTTTACGTTGCATATTTACTGTTTGAGACAAACTATTATTAATTTCGTATGATTTCGTATTTCGTTCATGTATATTTGTCATACAATGGCGTTTGCTAGTTGATGGAATTGGATCTGATGAATTATCATTATCAACGAAGGTACTCGTAGATGGACGAACGTTCTCTTCAGCATGTGAAGGAGACGGACTGGACCTTAAATTAATGGATTGTGTGATCTTTTTCCCAGTTTCTAGTTTGTTGTTTAATGAATCACCAATATAGCTTTCTGCAACTTTGTCCGATTTCCAACCACCTAGTCGCTTTAAGGACGTCAAATTGGCTCCTGAATCTGCCAATAATGTAGTAGAGGTCCTTCTGAAGCTGTGCCCAGTATAACACTCAGCATCCGGCAGACCAAGAAACGTAGCTATTTCTTTTGGCATATTACCAAATTTGTTTATGCCGATTACTTGAGCTGTACACTTCCCTTTTTGGAAATTTTGAAAAAAACGGTCGGATTTTCCTTTTTGGGACCGCTGGTTCATATTTTTTCACTATTGTGAGAAAATCTCCTTCAACAACAAAGCTTCGCGGTATCTTATTTTTTGTGTTTGGAATCTTGATAAGTAGCATTTCTCCATGGGCTTCAATATCTTTTAAAGTAATATTGGCTAACTCCTCTCTGCGGCAAGCTCCAACAACGCCAAAAATCAGAGCAACCTAAAAAAAACTATTTGATTCATATAAATAATGTATTGACTGTATTTTGCGATTTTGTAAACTGAACACTAAAGAAAAATGTAGATATGTATACTTATTAATAAATTACCTTTGTGGCTAAATAACAATCATCGGGAGCTTCTTTCAAAAACCTTTCCACGTCATTCGATGTTAATATTTTCTACTTTTTACTGGTAAACCCGTCTGATTGTCGTTTTAAGAAAGAATTTAATTTTGGATATTGACTTATATCCACGTTGTTCCTTATTTTCAGCATACTTTTCATCATCGAAAACCTTGACCATAACGTAGAAGGTTTTAATTTTGCTGAGAGTTCGGAAAAGTATGCCAACATAACATTTTCTGAAAAACTATTTGCTTTTTTCTCTTCTTTCCACGCAATAAATTCATCGTATGTAGATATGTAGCGAATATTTGACTTTTCCGGTAAAATGTTCTCCGAAGCATTTTGTGCAATTATACTGAGTTCCGGTGGAGTTAATTCAAAAAAATTTAGGTCGAAATTACTCATTTTGTGTAAAAAACAACTAAACTCGCAAAGAAAATTTCGGAAAATGGCGCCAACCGTAGAATGTAAGCAGTTTTTTTTCACCCATTCTGGTAGGCAAAGGGAACTGCCCATACAGCCAAGTCTTTAGTACTTAGTATTTTTTATTATAAGAAATGAAATTAAAATTTAATGATATGAAATGAACTGAAACCTTACCTAACTCATTCAATCAATTAATTAATTCTGATATTGGACAAATTAGTATAGGTAGCTTCTTTTTAAAAACAAATAAACCTATTTGCATGAATCGCAAAAACTTCTATGATTTTTTTTAGTCAAAACTTCATGGTTGTTTTTTTTAATAGAAATAATTTTGACAGTTGGGAAAGAAAACGCACGAGTTCGGGAAAGGCAAAAAAAAAAGCACGAGTGTGAAATAGCCCAGATCCCGAACGCTACACGTCCCTGCAATACGCCACTTTTTGAGCAACTGTATTAAAAAATATATTTTGTCTATTTTAAATGTGCATTCATACCATTTTTTAATTTTTTACTAATGCAATAAAGTAACTCCGTTAGCAATTTAAATACAGGGTGTGAAAAAACCTATGACAAAGACTTAAACTACGCAATCTGTACACCCAAACAAGACATATTACAAAATATTATTGGTGGGAAAAAATTGTTCTTTAAGTTAAAAAAATACATTTTATTTCCAGTACGCAATGTATAGCGCGGCACTTTACTGTGGCGCTACGCAAAGAATGTGCCTGTGTGTATGAGTGTGCGTGTGTAAAAGTGCGTCGATAAAAAAGTTTCTAAATAAGGTTTGGAAAAATTGCCTTTGATCTTCAATATTTCCATAACCATTAATTTCCCAGGTATGGTCCAGAAGAAAAAAAAATATCGTCATGATGTGGAAAATACGTGGTCTTCGACTTCGTTATAGGTTTTTTTACACCCTGTATTGTCGTGCAGGCGTACATCATCGCATAAATTCAAACCTTTGTGGTTTTAAGACGCGATTGATCACAACATTGTAATTATACTTCTTTGAGACTAGTAATAATAATAAAAAAAAACTATTTAAACCATTAATATATATCTTATCATGATCATCATCAGTAATCTATTAATGTCCCCAACTAACATAGTGATACAAGAATTTTATATATAAGATAACACAAACTTTGCTGAATAACACATAGTCGGTTTCTCAACATTCATCATCATCATCAGCCTATTAATGTCCCCACTGCTGAGGCACAGGCCTTCCCTATGTATGGAATAGGGAGATTGGGCTATGCCCCACCACGCAGGGCCAGTGCGGATTGGCCGGTGTTAACGACTGCAGATACAGCCGGTGCCTTCCGAAGCACGGAGGAACTCGAGATAGAAGATTTTTGGTCACCCATCCAATGACCGACCATTGTGAAAGTTGCTTAACTTCAACGATCGCAGCCGAACAGATCGAGCATTTCCTGACTCACAAAAAGTAAATTAGTATAGATATCCAGAGTGAATGCAAAGTGTCCCTTACCTGTTTCTCTGCGTCGTATCGCCATTCTATCAATGAATCTGATTGGATGCCGAGGTCAGCGCAGGGCCTCATCAAGTTATCCATCTGAAACCAAAGAAAGCAATTGATCATTAATTGCTTAGCTTCTGTTACAATAATAATAATATTTCCAACATTCACACCAATTAGCCTAGCCTCAAAGTAAGCACTATAAGGCTTTTGTTATGGGATATAAGTATATTTATATAGAAATACATATTTATCATCCATGACTGGAGTACAAATGCTCGTATTCATCACACAAACATCTGCCCCCACCGGGGTTCGAACCCGGGACCTCTTGAGTAGGCCTCTAAAATTGGATATATGTAAAAAAAATATACACAAAGAATAATTAGTAGTTATATTATGCCTCCACGTTTTTTTTTTGTAAATGCTAACTAAATCTCCACACTAGACGTCTTGAGTGGTGACATTTTTTTATTATTTTTTTTTGCCTTTTTTCGAGGGCTTCAAAGTTTCATTGAAACACAAGTTACCGAAAAAAGGAAGGCATAGGAGCATAGAATGAGTAAAATTATATTTTATGTATGAAAATGAAGTCTTTAGTGATAAATATCGAGGAATCAGTCGAGAACGTTTGTATGGAAAAAACATTGCGCGCCTTCACTCTTAATCGAGCGGCATGATGGTGATTGGCTACCATAACCAATGGGTATTAGACAGTTATAATAATAATAGTTTATTTTTCCACAAGGATAATGATTACATAGCTTATTATCACATAGATATGACACAATTTTAACATAATATTATAGCTGCTGGTACTTAAAAAAGAATACTCTGTGCTATAAGTACCAGCCTCTTTCCAAATTTACATCATTGGATTATTGAATTTTAACTCAAAAACTTTGACAATCATTAATTTAGGCAATATATATATATATGTGTGTGTGTTGTGTGTGTGTGTGTGTTGTGTGTGTGTTGTGTGTGTTGTGTGTGTGTGTGTGTGTGTGTGTGTATTATTATTGGCCATTTAATTATAAAATAATGTCGTTAAGATTAAATTAATTGGCTAGCGGTTCTATATGCATAATGTTTTAAAGATCGACCTATCAATGTTCAAGCTTATGGAAAAATCCTTTCAAGCGATTTATGATCATTATAATTACACACATCAAAAGTGTCTAGGGATCAAGCATTTTTATGCGGATTTCTTGAGATTGAGATGTGGCTTTGTAATAAATTTATGATTTTATAAATTTATATGGATCCTTTTTGGTGCATTTCATAATTTGAATCAGGAACTGTGAATCAAATTCGAGTAAAAGATGAAAATCAGCTGTCAATATTTTCCCTATAAAAACATACAACGCATTGAAGACATTATTAGTGCTACTGTTTCCCTACTACTGATTAAAACCAACGTTATTATGGAGCGGCGACGTCATTTAAGCAGGGAAGAAATGCTCAGAACCGTGGGAATGATAGAAGCTGGTTCCCGGCAACGTACTGTGGCTTTAGCTCTGAATACAAGTCAGAGTGTTATCAGTCGACTTTGGACACGATACCGAAGCACTGGTACCGTGGCTGAGCGCCATGGAGGACGGTATCGCTGCACCACACGGAGACAAGACCGATACATTCAAATCTTAACTCGAAGAGCTCCAACAATAACCGCCATGATGTTAGCCGTGAGGCTTCATCACTCTTCAGGGAACTTAATTAGCGACCAAACAGTCAGAAACCGCTTGCATGAAGTGAACTTTCATTCCCGAAGACCGCTACGGGTACCACCTATAGCAATGCACAATCGTAGGATTCGATATCAATGGGCTCTTGAACACAGAAATTGGGCAGAAGAACAATGGCGTTTCGTGTGCTTTTCTGATGAGTCTCGTTTTGGTATGAGACCGGATACAAGACGTATACGACACTGGAGAACCCCTGGACGCCAACAGCGATTAAAATCCTGCCAGGAAGTCCATCCTTATAGTGGTGGAACCATCATGGTATGGGCGGGTATTTGGATCGGCGGAAGAACTGAGTTGATTTGGATCAGAGGCAACCTCAACGCTCAAATTTATGCTGAGACGATTGTATCAGACGTCATCGTTCCTCTACAAGTGCAAATCGGTCCCTTATTTCAGTTAATGCATGATAATGCACGACCGCACACCGCAAGAGTTGTAAGACAGACTCTCGCCGCAGCTAACATCAATGTCCTGCCCTGGCCTGCTCAGTCGCCAGACTTGAACCCGATTGAGCATGCATGGGATATGCTACAGAGAAGAGCTCTGCCGAATATGGAGGGTATCCAGTCGCAAGAAGACCTTTTTTTGTTGTTGCAACGAACATGGGCGGCCATTCCACAGCGTGATTTGGATGAACTCATTTTGAGTATGCCAAACCGATGTTCTTGTGTTGTTAGTGTTCGCGGTAGAAATACGGATTATTAATTGTTTAAGTTACCCGATAAAATTTTAGAGAAAACTGTTATTTCAGTCTTTTTTTCGAACTTTTGTGTTAGTGGTTCAAATGTCAAAAATCCCTTTATTAGGAAAATGGCAAATTTCTTTATTAATGCAAAGGTGACTTGGTTTATCGTTACTGTGACAAACGAAAACACTTTATTTGATGAATCCTTAAAGAAAATTTTAATTAATATCAATCAGGAGAAAAGTTATTGCAAAAATATATGTTGATCCCTAGACACTTTTGATGTGTGTATTTTAGTTACCGTATAATGTTACCGTACTACTCTATAATTCTACAAGTAAGACATGGTATGCAACTATGTATGTATGAATATATTTTGTTTATTCGACTTGATCAACAATATACAGGGCGTCCCACGGGTTTGTCACGCGGAGAGTAGAGAGGAGAGTATTAATTTCAAGATTTTAATGAAAGGAAGTCATTTCTTCTTCGGCTTCTCACAACCTACAGGTTTATCATTTTTGTATTCACCTATTACAATAGCATCATGTTGTGAGGAGAAATAAATAAAAAAATATATTATTTAAAATGTTATGTTATGTTATTTAGCAAAAAATAATCTTTATGGTTAACCCTTTCGATGGTTATCATAAAATACGTCATGTTTCTTTACAAATTTTCAACTTTGATTCCCAGTTGTAACAGGAATTTTTAAAAATTCTGTGAATGTAAGCTCTACTTATTGTTAAAAATAAAATTATGTCTTCTTACAGTAAAATATCCTATCTTCAATATTTAATATACTTTCCCGTGGGACACCCTGTATAAGACAGCCGTATATTATCTGTCATAGACATGCGTGGTAACAAATTTATCTAATCCAGGACCTGTCACAGAATGAATTATATGCATTATAAATACTATATCCGATATAATTACCACAGCAACTAAACATTGACAATTTAATACTAAGTTCATGATAACCTTGAAAACCAATGGAGCGATACATTACGTGAATCACCACGTAAATTAAACGTACAGTCATCGACAAAATAATTACGAAGATTCCAAGTCATTCATAATAATTTAAAATAAACATTAACTCGTGAAGCTGTATCGATTTATCGGCTGTTAAATTCAAATTTAGGCAATTAATTGCCAAAATAAATTAAATAATAACATCATTGGCTATAAATCAGGTAAGTTAGTGCTGGTGCTGGTAGCATACCTATGGTCAAAGTCCCATTGGAAGGAAAGGTCCCTCTTTTTATTTATTTATTTATTTTCTAAGAAAACCAACAGCGTTTTTCCGATATAAAATTTACAATAGGTACATTTCTAAAAGTATGGCCAATGACAGGTTTTCCTAGTTAGCTTAGTTTTATATTATTATACACATTAATAATCATCATCATCATCAGCCTATTAATGTCCCCATTGCTGGGGCACAGGCCTTCCCTATGGATGGAATAGGGAGATTGGGCCATGGTCATTAATAACCAATTTTCGGTAATCGCGATCGCTGCGTAAACTGCTTTACAACAGATCAAAGATTGCCTTTGTAACAAATTGTTTTTCTAATCCAAATTTTTAAATATTATTCTGACTAGAGACCGCAAGAAGGCGCCGGAGTGGGTACCGAACCACCCCGGCGTTCTTGCGTTCTCTAGTCTGAATAATATTTTAAACGCCGCCGTTAAAAGTAAGGTGCCCACCCCGGCGTTATTTCATGCATGAGTTATGATTTGACTTATCATTACTCATTATACGGGGCAAGTCATGCGGATTAATGGGTAGTAAAGACTTCAAACGTAGCTGATTATGACTGGTTTAGCGTTTGCCTTCAGAAAAGGATAACCAACCAAGATAGTAAGTAATAAATACAGGTAAAGTATAGAGGAGCTCGTTGGCGCCAGTGGTTAGCGCGTTCGGCTGCGGTCGTTGAAGTTGAGCAACTTTCGCAGTGGCCGGTCATTGGTTGGGTGACCAAAAATTTACTATCTCGAGCTCCTCCGTGCTTCGGAAGGCACGTTAAGCCGTTGGTCCCGGCTGCATCTGCAGTTGTTAGGACCCACCAACCCGCACTGGGCCTGCGTATTGGGTCATGGCCCAATCTCCCTAAATCATCCATAGGGAAGGCCTGTGCCCCAGCAGTGGGGACATTAATAGGCTGATGATGATAGCGGTTTTAATTCTCCCCTTTGTTGAAGTAGCCTTACCCTTATAAGCACTGCACTTTGCTATTCGTATTTGCTGTTTGTAAACTTGACAACGGTCTGTCCTTATCATGCTTTTTTAAGGAATGAAAAGGACAGACTGCTGTCAAGTTTACAAACAGCAAACACGAATGGCCAAGCAAAGTGCCGGCATTAAAGAATACCACAGAGAAATTACCTACCAAGTTTCGCTTCTGAACTCCAACAACATACAAATTATTTTTACATCAAGAGCAGTGAAGCCTCTTATTCAGACCTTTAGTATATGAAAAAAAAGTTACTAGTCCTTAATAGCAGACGGCACGCAAAAAAGCGATACAATAAATAAACAAGAATGTTTTTCCTTATAGCGAAACATGTTCAAGAGGCAAATAAATTTGACTTTTTTCCTGTACCAAGAGGTGTTTTCTTGCTTTTGGTTATGGTGCATAAAGATTAACATCATATAAT